TTAGATTAGCGGTGCCGAAAGAAGGCAGCAATGTGAGGTTTGTGTCTGTAATAAAGGCTTCTGGTGATCTTAAGCTAATCGAGGGTAAGGAAGCCAACGCCATTGTCTGGGGCAGTTTTCAAGATGATATTGCTAAAGATGGATGGTCATATCTGGAGATTCGCACAAATCCTTATTTTGACGATGAACTGGCAGCTTATTCTGCTGGAGTAGTCGAGGCGGACCTTACCCGACACCTCATTACACCTCATCTCTACAATTTATTTGCGGATTACTGCAAGAACAATACGGAGTACTGTGATAAGGTAATGAAGTATTTCCAGGCTCAGCTTGAATGGATGAACGAAAGATCACGCGAAGAGCGTTCCAGATCAGCCTTTTGGAATCAAGTATATCTAATACTTAAACAACTGACCGGGCTTGATGATGCCTATCGAAATTCTTCGCTTAATGCTGGGAATGTTTATACTACAGTAAATCAGCTGTATTTCGTCAATAATGAGGGTGCTCTATACGATCTGGAGAGTGCATTAGGGCGGCGGCCTGATAACGGAAGTTTGTCTTCAGTAACTCCTTGCTCCATGTTAATAAAGAAAACTCCGAAGGATCTACTTGTCGGTCATACGACATGGTGGGTATACCGTGGAATGTTACGTATACAGAAGAGGTATTCGCTGAACTTTAGGCTTACGGCTAGCAGCATGATGCGCGTAAACGGGGCTACTATATCCATGCCCTCATATCCGGCCAAATTGAGCTCTATGGATGACTTCTACGTGATAGCATCTGGTCTAGTGGTGACAGAAACAACAAATAACATTTACAATAAGACCCAATATGAATTCTTAAGTGAGGAAACAGTTCCGGCATCTTTCAGGGCTATGGCTGCTAACCGTATCGCCCTTGATGGTTGTCACTGGACGCGTCAATTCCAAAAACATAATTCAGGCACTTATAACAATCAATGGATCATAATTAACTATAAGAATATCATCCGTGTAGGTGATACCATCGTTTTGCGTAATGGGACTTTTTGGATGCTCGAGCAGTTACCCACGTTGGTAGTTAGCAGAGATATGACCGACGTCCTTGTTCAGCAGGAGTATTGGGCGAGCTACAACATCCCTTACTTTTCGCAGATTTATAAGGAAAGTGGATATCTTGACCAGTTTAATAAGTATGGTGATCGTTACAGTTATGACTCCTGCCACAGAGCGAAAATATTTCAGAGGGACCAATTCCGAGTTAAAAATGTTTCCTCTATGATTGCTTTGTTGCGATTTAATGATTTCAAAAACGACCCTTTGAGTCGATGCAACTGCACGCCGCCTTTCAGTCCCGTATATGCTATCGCCGCTCGTTATGACCTTGTTGATCCTGACGGAAAATACGATGATACCGACATAAAACTTCGAGCCGAAGGTGCCATCGATGCGAAGGTAACTGATATTAACTCAGCAGCTGATCTCACCTTTTATGCTATCTGTGGCCCTACATCGGATCAACAACCAGTCTTTTACTGGAGTAAATCGGCGTTCAGTAATAGACCCCTTGGGCACCCTGACAAGTTCGATTTTGGTACTGTGAGACATTCTTGGACACTCTGAGGATGATGCCGAGGTTCTGCTTTGTGTACAATAAAAATACCTTAAATTAACCAATTAACAAAGGTTTATTAATAACATAGATTGAATATGTTATGTAGGAATCTTAGTGCAATGCATGATATTCTTTATCAATAAGCACGAATCTACGGTAGTACGCAGCCATATATATACAAGTGTAAGAAGCGTAGCTTTACATCCAGCTGCATCGCCAAATGTATTTTTTTGAGTTTGTTTATTTCTGCTATAAAAGCGAATCGATTGTATTACGTATGAGATTGATACGAATTTACTTTTATCCAATAAATAAGTTCCGGAAGAGCTCGAGAATTTTGTTAGCTTTGGAGCATTAAAAGTTTTCTCTTGCTTCATAAAGATAATGAGATAGGCTGTTTTTAAAAGGGTAACTTCGAACCGAAGTAATAAATACCAGGTTCCGGTATTTTCAGGGATAAGCGGAAAAAGATCGACGATGATGCGAGTCCCATACCTGCAACCTTCCCTTCAGAGCTAGATTCAGTCATCGAAACGATTTGTACTTTTTAGATTTGTATAAATTAGCAATAATTTGCGACTGTATATTTAAATACGTTTCATTATAAAAATTCTATACATAAACAATTAATGTTAGTTAACTTGCCTATTTCTTAGTATAGCGCGTGGAACTACTGAAACATAGTAAGAAAAGAAAGGGTCAAAAAACACTATTCATCAACAAAAGACCACTTTTCTGAAAAAAATGCATACTTGTAGTAAAGCACTTTAATATAACGAGGTGAAAAATTACTAGTTCTAGTAACAGTCACCAAGAGCGACACGACCTTTTCTACCACTAATATTTTCACCAATGTAAAGATACTTGAACTCTTGGAAACAGACGTCACATATTGAATAAGCTGACTAACAACATTGCTACTGTACTAGCGACTAGAAACAAATATTGGACCTCCTTATATCCTCCTGTTCATAGAGACATTTCCAACCTCTATTACTTCTAGCCCTATAGGAATGACCAAAAATTCTTTATACGCGCGCCGCGGTAAACGCATCTGCGGACCTCCATATAACTTCAACCATCTTTAATCTCGTTAAAAATGAGTAAGGTCATGGATTAACGTAGATCAAGCCTACTGTGATAAACATTTTCGAAACTAATCTATTGGAATGGCGCGAACGCATGTACGGTATTTAGTGGGCTCCCGGCGTATGCTTGCGGTAAACACAGCATTACTAATCCGCTAAAACAATGATCCCAGCGAACTGTTACATCCGCTTACTGTTACCGCTCGTATCATAATTCTTCCTTCCCTATTGCTGCCATTTGGCGCATAAAGAACATCAATGATGCATAATGAACCTTTATGCCAACCCTTAAAAGAGCATTGTGGACGTCACTATCTATTATTGGCTCTTAACCATGTACTAGAATAAGTTCTATGCCATGATGCTAGCAAATCTAGCCGGACTACTGAGTATGGTTATTGTAGAGATAATTCTATAGTACGGAGTTTTTTTGCACTTTTTCGCTCTGCAGTTTCATATTGCAGTTCGATTATTATGACTAACTACATTATAGAATATAGCAATAGACATGCTATCAATAGTTTCTCCAATTCGCACTTTTATTTAACGTGTTTAGGTTTGGTCGAAAAAAAGACTTTTTCGAGGTTCTGCTGATACTCTACATACTCGTAAAGAGCACAGAAGAGTAGTATGTCTTGCAGATTCTCTACTGCCCTCTTAAGCTAGCTAACGCAAAGCTTACTTTGTACAAACAAAGGTCCAGCAAGCAGAAGGCTGTTAAATCCGATCAGGCAGGAATCTTGGAAATACGAAAGGAATAGAAGCTTGTGCAATAGCGCGCAATTTCGTTGACACGTGTGTGTGTGAAAATGGATTATTCATAATCGATCTATGAAATCAGTCTAGATAATATACTAGATCACGTAATCTCTATCTTGTTTTCTGTGTCAGTGAAAAGTAATATCAGAGCAAGGTGTGGAAACTGGATACTTATTTGAACTGATATTTTCATGCCGCAATATGCAGTTTAAAAAAAAAGCCACGTTTCTCAGAGGCGGTAGCTACAAATTCAGAATAGCATGACGTTTTTGATTGAGATGGCGACAACTACAAATTATTTTCAAAAAATGTATATTTGCACTTGATGCTGCGAGCATATACAGTAAGTATATAATGTTTCTACAAAAACGAGTTTTTCTATATGGTGAAATAAGTCTAATATCGAGCTCCCTTCAGAAGGTGGGCAAACGGAATACAAAAAAGGTAGCACTCACAGATATATAAACTTAAATTCACTGTTTAAACCTATAATATCTGAGTATTGAACATAATCAAAACATTAAAGAATTACCGGCCTCAGTTGGTACTGGGCAATTCTCTATTACTTTGATGTGGTATTTTTTCTCTAAGTTTACAGTCAACTTTGCCTGTACTGAATTCCACATCGTTATCGCACTCTGAAACAGTCGTTCCATATTTGCTGACGTTTATGTGCCACTCGAACACAGTAAGGCGAGGAATTAACCTAATCCATACTAGCAAAGAACTTCAACTACGCGTAAATGTCAGAAATTCATCAAAATAAATCAGCAGGGTTCACCAAAATATGTAAAATCTCTTACACAGTTGCCGGAACTTCGATTCTGAAAAAAGCTCTACATCGCTTCCACAACAATACTGTATTTTAGTTCCTGCTCTCTAGTAGTTGCAATAGTCAAGTGACAACTTAAAAAAGACGTGAGTCCTATTTAGAACTTTTTAGAAGCTTCGCACATCGAAAACTAATTAGATACGCAGTGATAACCCAGAAACACGAATTCCATCATAAACGAGAGAGAAGTACCGCTATCGTCGGGTCAATGGTAAACTGAACATATCCAGTTGAAAGACCCCAAGAGGATAGCCAACCCCGTATCCCAAATGTTTCACACATATTAAAGTAATTTAAAACCTAGAAAATACAGCGACTTCACTATCTAAAAAACAAATTTGGTAGACTAGCCATCTTCACGGGTATACATTTTTAGTTCACACTTTGTCATTAGCCGTAAACATTACCGAAATTAAAAATGTGACATTTTATAGCAATCAAGTTATTTTAGGTTTTATGTGATCGCAATAACCGATTCTTATGTAAGAATAACTCGAAAATGCACTCATGTGTTTGAAGCAAAGCCAATTCTTTAAAATACGACAGCGAACATGTAATACTCGTGACTATCCATAAAGCCCGTGATAGCTAAGCAACGACAGCCGCACCAATCGATGTGCGAAGCGCACAACTTCCTTACAAAGGAAAAATTGCTTAAATTGTAACCGTAGCCCCAAAACCGATTTGAACGTAAATTAATCATAAAAATGATAAAACCAGAATAACTCTTTGGATTGAAACAGGATGTGCATATTTATTTTAAAACCGACTACTTTACCAGTTCCTCACTCCTCAGAACTCCTTCTCATCCTTATTTGAATAGCGCCAAACAATAATAAGCTGTATATTCCATGATGGCACATTTTATAGCCCCTATTCGACCGACAGAAATGTCTGCGGAGCATCATAATAAGATGAAAGAAATTGTTTTGTCTATTTGGGGATTTTCGGAGGATCGACGAAGTCGATGAAACCCATCAAATAGACTGCGACACCGCTGGCTATACCAAAGAGGGAGCCGCCAGCCATGAAAGCGTTGTTTTTCGACTGCTTCTGAGCATTCAGCTGCTGAAAGCTTCCTGAAGGTTTAAGCAGTGCACTGCAGTCGGGTTGACTTATCTTTGCGACGTGATAGCTTGCTGAACGTGCGAATGCTGTAAACATATACATGGGCAGAAATAACGACACAACAAAATACAGAAGTTATAAAATATACATAATGACGAAGGGGAAGATACCTGTTAGGAGAAAACGAATCTGATATTGCAAATGTCTACTTAAATATAACGGTTAAATAATTAAAGCAAAAGGTATAATAAACGATGATATCCACATATATTGATAATGAATTATCCTAATATATCCTAACCAATGCGATACGCAAACTCGTATCCATGAGCGAAAGCGACTTATCAGTACTATCATTAAATTTTCTGAGCTACTGTTTAATACCAATTATCATGATCAGTGTGCTGATTAGGCATCATTTGGCCAACCATCGTAACCTAAACAACGCTTACGGCCGAATAAGTAGGATAATGACTGCACCGAAACTAGCAGCCTGATAGAAACAGCAAAGCAAATGACTAAAAGCAGCAGAAACTTGTAACCGTTTCACGAAACAACAAAACATCGATGGGAACTATTCTTCGAGCGAGAGATGTAAGTTTCGTATATAAGAAAAGGCTTTTAGGTATGTTTTGCTGTTAGATGTAAGTTTCGTATACAAGAAAAGGCTTTTAGGTATGTTTTGCTGTTAACTATATGTTTATATTGTTCAATAAATGGGGGAAAACAATTGATAACGTAATTTTCATACAAAAACCTCCACCCGTAGTTTAGAAAGTGCATTTGATGCTTATACCCATTCTTCGAGCATAAGCTCAAAACACTCAACGTGCGTGAAACACGAGCTGGTGTCAAAGGACTCAACTCGAACCGGCTCAACAGTAAGTAGCTTTTCGGCGCTGTTATGAAGAAAAATAAAGACAAGAAGCTGTACAAATAACTATGTCCAACTGGTTCGTCCTATTTGCGTAGGAAGAAATGGATCGTAACAATGAGGTGACTAATGTGACTATAGCCATAAGACACCATCCAACTTCTCACGGACATTTCAAGGTGATAAACGTATCAACGAACTATACGGTAATTCTACAACAGCACCTGCTGTTCTATAACATTTACAAATTATTTTATTTTAAACGTACCTACTGACGGCCGCACAGCATTGCGCACGTAATGCATTTTTCTACGAGTTTGTCAAGACGCCCTCGTTGATTTACAAGATCTATCACGACACAGCCTTCAGGCTATCGTCAAACTGGTACGGCACGTCGATCTTCGCTTATGATGACCACAGTCGCGATGCGGCTGCTCAGCGGACTTTAGAGCAGACAAAATGACTTCAAATACTTTGCCAGTTCGAGCAACGCGCGAAAATTTGAACGGCATAACAATACGTCGATAGATTAAGCACCATAGGGCGCCTTCAAGCACCCCTCATTGTCCGAAAGACTTCTTGGGCCGTTCACTATCGGTGAGATCTGCGTATACATATACAATGTTGTGAGTTGAAGGAAATTTTATCAGATCCATAAAACGTACTTTGTTGTTGTTGTCAGATGCTGCCAAAGCGAGCTCAGTACTACTTTACTGAGTTGAATCAATTAGGTTTTGCAAGAGGATCTAGATCTTTGCTGCTATTTCAATGTTTTGATTAGTTTCCAGCTGTCCACTGTAGAGCCACGTCAAGATACCGGGCGACCACCGGCGTTTGTAGCCTATGTGGGTGGATAGTGATCCAGTGTGTAGTTAGAAGTACATGGTCGACTCTTGTCTTGCTGTGTTAATTGAATTTTTTTGAGGTTTTTAGGTGCGTCTATAAAACTCGGTGCCTGTGCAGCTATTAAAGTGACAGCAGTGAAAACATGCGGCGGAATCTGGTGCTCTTGGCCCAGGTGGCCTTTATGGCAGCCTTCGTGGAAGCCCAACGACGACTTGTCAAAGAGGTGACGGAAGAAACCTGCAATTAACTACTATTCGTTCATATTAAATTTGTGAGCCCTGTCGACCTAGCTTTTACACAAAGGCTGAAATATTTCGTCAGTTAAATAACTGTTAATTGAATATTTAATAACTGTAACTCTTCTGTTGCAATTCTATGAGCCAACGATTTGTGCTTACTGAGTGCTGAAACAAACAGTATATCATAGATATTGCCACGCAACTGTGAAATACAATGAATGAAAGATTCAGGTATTTTTGATGAATTTTAGTAGTGCTAGTGAAGAATGCATGTAAAGCTTCTTTTATTTTTCCATAGCCACTTAATGGAGAACCTCTGACTGTATGTTTAGAATTTATGGCCTATCGAAACTATCAAATCGTTTACGATTGTTTTTTTCTCAATTTACGGTATTTTTAGACGCTACCGTTAGGGGAACGGGTTCAGCAGCTGACGGGTATGAGTGCAAAGCGGGCTGTAATCCGACTGAACGCCGAACGGTTCAGGACACTGGTAAAGGCTGCTCCGAGAAATTATTCTATAATAGTTCAGTTCACAGCACTTTCTCCTATGCGAAGTTGTTCAATTTGTCGTCAGGCAAATGAAGAATTCACCATCGTTGCAAACTCGTGGAAATACTCGGGCTCATTCACCAACAAACTTTTCTTTGCCATGGTTGACTTCGATGAGGGCCAAGAGGTACGATGTATGATTCGTCGGTTACGTACTGTTCTGTTTAGGCTACGGACTTTTTGTTTGAGTAGCAAAACAGGGCGCCGAAATGAATGTTTCCAAAGTAATAATTGCTCCATGTAAATGACGCGAAATGTAGGTGTGATTATTCCTTGGACTGAATTCGAAACCTAATGCACTTATTTATGTGTACCCAGATAGTGATCTACACAGAATCATATTGCAAGCGCAGCTTCCTTCACTGAATGCCGTTGATAATGCTCTTTTAGTTGCAAACGTTTATTTTACCTATTAAGATATCCTATAGAAAGGATTTTGCTTATATTTAATATGCTGCTTTTTTGAAGTATCAGCCAACTTTAATTAATTATCCTGTCATTGTTTTCTCAGTCCTAGCAAATTTTTGATACGAATGAGCAGGCAGTAGTAGTAATATATACATAGTAATAATATATAGTAGTATAGATAGCATTTATACGGTAGAGAATGAATGATCATTGACCACATGTCAATATGTTAAGCACAACGATTGCAAATATCTGATGTTCGTTCTCTGATGGCAGGTGTTCCAGCAAATGGGATTCAACTCTGCACCTATTTTTGTGCATTTCCCGGAAAAAGGTAAACCGAAAAAAGGAGATAATATGGACATTCAGCGAGTCGGATTTCAAGCAGAGGTGAGTTCACCATTATTGGAAATATTATTCTTTGTTTACTTGACGGTGCAGTTTTTTGGTTATTCTCTAGACAGCTTCATTTTACAGTAGCAAAATACGTAACATTTTAGGCTCATCTTCGCGTGATTATCAAATTGGCTTGAACTTAGGTCTTTTAGTTAAGGCGTCCCGAATATTTAAGTATGTTTAGCGAAAGAAGTTTAACGTAAATTTCGCAAATTCAAGCCTTATTAAAATCAGTTCAGATTGCAGAAAAGGTTAAACGTATTACAGACATAAAAAGTAAAGATAGATTTATTTATTTATACTTAGATTCAAAATACCTGGATAAGGCGTGTTGAATATAAGTCATTCGAACTAAGCAGCTTAAAACAAACTTCTGGGTAACTTATAGGCTCGATTTTTCGAAATTTACTCACTTTTTTTTAATGGCAGCTTGTTTACAGATTATTGAAAAGATTTTTTAGGGTATCGATCTTTGTCACGCAATTTAAATATTCGGTAATATTACTAAGAATACAAACAAAAGCAAAAGATGAATGTCTCAAATGCAAATCATATCAACAGCACTGCCAGACATAATAATGCATTGTAAAGTGAAGGACACTTAAATTAATGGCCTATGAGCCGCGCACAGTCGCTATCTCGCCGATGCGAGTTTTTAGATAGCTAATTTAGACAATGGGTAGAATTGTAATCATTGTGAATGGATAAGTGTAACATTAGGGCTCATCGTACATAGTTGAGATTAATGATGCAAATAAATGCATTAACGGTAAAAGGTGTTTGAATGAACGCATGAATCCAAAAATGTCTGTGCTAGAGTGCTGCAGTAAAAGCATAGCGCTGTTTTTGGTGAGAACAATTAAGACATTAGCAGCGGCATAATGTCGTAATCAGATAATTCTACTTATCAACATGTTGGGCAATTATTTCGTTTTAGATGAGAGATACAATATTGCTTCAAGCTGTTGTGAGTCATTGACAAAGAAATTACTCATATTATATATTGAAGAAATTCCATATTGTTTATTCAATGCGTTGTGTGTGTCGATCGCTATTACCCGGCCTTGTTTTCTTTTATTGTCATCATTTAACGAACGACTCGTACTCGTAGAAAATATTTCCCGAAAATAATAAACAACAAATCAATCTTTTATTCTACAATAAAATTACTAAAGTTCTTTTTCGTTTCTATCCTAGGTTTTTGCTAAGTGGATCCAGGAGAGAACTGATATCAATATTCGAGTATTCCGACCGCCGAACTATTCAGGAATCATCGCTCTCTTAATTCTCATCTTTCTTGTAGGAGCGCTGCTCTACATGCATCGAAATAATCTTGAGTTTCTTTACAATCGTACATCCTGGGGCCTATTTGCGTTGTGCATTGTCTTCGCCATGATCTCTGGTCAGATGTGGAACCACATTCGGGGCCCACCACTTATGCAGCGTACCCAGACTGGGATTAATTACATCCATGGCTCGAGTTCTGGACAATTTGTGATGGAATCGTATATTATTATGGGTCTGTACGCATCGGTCGTACTTGGCATGATCCTTATGAACGAGGCTCCGCTTGTACCTGGCGGCGAGTCGAAGAAGAAAACAGCACTCGCCGTGGGCGGTCTCGGCCTATTTGTGTTCTTCTTTAGTTCGCTATTGTCAGCCTTCCGTTCGAAGGCTCATGGCTATCCGTACAGCTTCCTGTTCAGCTAAGGCAGCCCCAGTGATCCATCCGCATGCCGCGCCCTTGCATGGCCCACTCGCGCTAAAAAGCCTCTTCCTTCGATGTGATGCACATGATGAAAGTAACATGAATCAACGCACTACTAATACACACAAATAAACAATACATTCATATATGCATGTGCTGTTTGTATGTATTTTAAATAAGCCCACTTCATGAAGCATACTTCTGTGACGAGAAAACTCTAGAATGGAAATGAGATAAAAAGAAAAATACGATATGCGATTAGCATGACAATTGTATGACAATAATTAAAGTGTCATAGTTCCCTGCTCTAAAAGAAAATGTGTAAGAAGGTCGTATTGAGTAAGGGCTAGGTGTTATGTACTACTGTTCTTTGAAAAGAAAATATCATTCATTATAAAAAGTATTAAATATTTTTAAAAACATTATCAAGAAAAGTTTGCCATATCCGGCGTATAACATGTTGCAAGCAAAATCAAGACAAAAAAGAGAAAGTTGAATAGGCGCAGTTAATAAAAAGTGGTGAGCTGCTTTGCTTTGCATTAAGGAATAAACTTCTGTCTACTCCCCTGTCGTCCGTCGTAATACTGGTGGTGGTCGTAATACTGGTACGTAATACACTATTATTGCGAGTTATGACATGACACATTGCGAGATTCGGGGTTTCTCCAGTCGAGCCTAGGCAAATGCTTGTAATGACATCTAAACGGCAGCGATAAGTGCAGTGATGGAGTCTATGCTATGCTAGGGGGTGCTATGCGGATATCAAAAAAAGAATTGACTCCTTAACGATACCTACAATGCCGAAGTAATCACTTGTTTCACTTACCGGTTCGAGCACTATCTCATTTCAACAATCATTTCCTACTATCGAAACTTGGAGAAAAATGTGTTTTCCCTAACTAAAAGAAGTGAAAAATTACCGGGAATAGTTGTGGGCAGAGAAATGATACTTCTGCAAGAATGGTTGTACAGAATGAATAGAAGAATGTCTGCTAGTTATGTAACCAGGCGTTAATATGCTTAGAAAATATAAAAATGTATTAAATTTGTAGAGTTATTTATTTTGAATAAAGATTGCCGTAGCGCAAAGTCGGAAGAGTGGAAAACAAACATTTCTCAATTTTTTCATGTAACATTAATTTCTTTGGCATAAATAATGCATGTTTTATTATGATGCTTTACATTTTTCTAATATTCGCTTACGTTCAAGAAGCATGAAGTATCAAATTTGTTTAAGTAAAACGCACTCTTTGGGCCTAAGTGTATTTGCGCAATTCGCAGTATTCATTAAATGATTCAGGCGCGGTTTAGGCTCTTCGGCTTCGGCGCTATATATTTATTCAAAATGGTATTCTTCAGTATTTAATTTTTCTTCAGGGTAACATACGTGTTCGTTTAAAATAATTTATTTTTTTTTAATCCTTGTGTCCCAACTTAAGAGTCAAAGGCTGGTGTTAGGCACACAAGGTAATCAGAAACTTGCTGAGTTTTCAGTAAGAGGCCGAAGATCAGTCACGTATATTCCTTGTCAGCGCTTTTTACCTATGCATTACTACAGGCCCAGTGAGCTATAGTCAAATAAAAGAACGTAATAGATGCATTAATAGAAAAACGGAAGATCCAATGACAGAAACAGACCTACTTTCTATTTAGTTTATGATTGTTTAGTATATTTTTGCGGAGATGAGTTTTTACTTGGTCGGACATGAAACGACAGTGCTGAAATATCAGAAATTATTTTCTGCAAATTTTTATCTCGACCGTACGTAGATCTTTAGTCTGTGCCAAATTGTTTTTGATAAGTTTGCCAAGGCGTCGGAGCTGAACATCTCAAGAGTTTCGCAATAGAAGTAGTAAGAGCTGCTTTGTGAATTATTTCCTCAGTAAAAATTCCATCGCATTGAGGGCACTACTTTCTTGTGTTAAATTTGGGCCGTGTCAGTACATACCTGCTTTAGCATAATGAACTTGATACATACATATTCTTAACCTTTTTAAGTCAAAGAAGAAAAGTTTGCCGTATGATGAGTTTGTGATAACCTTTGTAAGTAAAGGTATAGTGAATGATTAATAATGAAGTGGTCTAACGAATTACCGAAGGTCGAATATATATGTACAATGCAGAAAGATGCTTCAGTACGCCTTCCAGTACATACCACTGTGCATATCGTTACACTGGGTGTGTATTTTTTGTGATAGAAGTTACTAGTAAGAGGTTCTTGAGAACCTTCTAATAGAAACTTCTATGGGGCTATGTTATTTCACATTTTCTCTTCTGCTCGCTGGCTATTCAAAGTTCTAAAGTTACCGTTGTCGAAAAGTACATCTATAAAGTAGACAGTGCTAGGCCTATACCGTAGGCTGCAGCCAACCAACGAAAACAACCGCATTATTTCAATTAGAAAGGAGAACCCCATAGTTCAATGCCTACTGTTACCATTATATACGATAGTCTGCTCATGGGCTCCAAGAAATGCGTAAATGAGCAGAAAGACAAAGCGTGGAGCGCCATTCACCACTTATTTATGTGAAGCTAATCATCATTAGGATCATTTGTTTTACAAGGGTCGAGTCTGGCCACATATCGTAATTCTTCAAACTGGAATCAATTTCTACTATTGAATTAGCTGATGCTATACAAAACTTTAGAACCACCTATAAAAGCAAATAATGCAACTGGAGCCTCTTCGTGCGTCAAACGTACACACGGTGTACACAATTCGAGAAAGTACACCTTTTTCAAACCAATAAACAACAGGAAAGAGTAACATATAACAACTAAATATACAAAATTCACCTGCCATCGATTACCATAAGGAAGCAGTTCTTTACTGAATTGGCCACAGAGCGTGCGAAGGCTAACTTTTACTTAGTTTCTTGGATACCTAACTAACACTATTATATAACTTGGTAAGCACAAACAGTAAATATGAAGTCCCTCGAAGATTAAGGGTAGTGAGTAGAATGTACTTGATTTATGTTTTTGGTTCTCCTGAATTACTAAATTGGCCTAGAAGTTCTCCAAGTCGAGGTAGATATCAAAGAAACCTTCTAAGACCAATATATTTGACACTGAAATCAATGGATTTTACTTAACTTGCTACCTCTAGCATCTGCGAGATCCTATAACCTTAGAAAGCGCTTTTTCGTTTAAAGCCCATTTCCTACGACTTTTCGCTTTGTCTCTGTGGAGCTCCGATGATGACGTAATATTATTCATAATTATAACGCACAAGCAGATATCAGTTTCATTTAACCTTGTCACATTCATCGTATAATTCATCGCCCCTATCCATTTTTTTATTATAACCTATTATTAGATGTCGATAGAGGAACTCCGTGGACCTCTCACTAGATCTCCCAACTGGCCAATTGCGGGGTTTCCATTAAATTCAAAATGTAATTTAAAAAATAACATGGTCAGCTGCAAAGTTAAGGGATGTAAAAATTGTGTCCACTAGAAAACAGAAAAAAGCGAACTCTATTTAAATACTTTGCGAAAAAATTACGTAATCCGTTCTATTCATTACAGCTATGAAAAATAGCTTAGTGAGTTAACTTAATTCCAATAATCATTAACCAACGCACCTAGCTATGTTTATTGCAGACGAATGTCATATTCCAAATCTCAATTTCGCATACAAAATTACTGACGCTTAAGCTGATGTTCGAGGAAGCTTTTGGATTGCTACCTACCTAATTGTTATTTATGCAAATGTGATTTCGTTCTGCGCTTGTTTGTGGTACATATAAAATCGTTTATCTCAGTTTTAACCAAGGTCAACTCAGGCATTTTGTGGCACTTAATTACGTATACATACATACATACACGAACTGTAATGGACAGTTAGATACGCTCGCTAAGGGTATATTACTCACTTCTTTCTTGGACGATGTTGATGCATATCTGTTTGATACGTATATATGGGAGTTGGTCTACGCACCAATCCATAGGAAATGCTTTTGTTAGATAGAATGTTCTTTTTGATTTAGCTCAAAACTTGATAATATATCAGTATATTGATTGAATAATATGATCATAAGAAACTATCATGACCATATTCTTGTGGGAACGTTGTCTGCTTAAATTTGATACGTACGACAGAGAAAATAAGTAGTATAGTATAGCCAAGGCTATCTTCATGAAGATTGCTTCCAAACTTTGATGGCTTAGGTATTTTATAATTATAAAAAAAAATACATCTATAAATAATTTTTGATTACGGAATTCGGCAGGCAACGATTGTGAGTCTCCTAACATACTGTCCGTTTTTTATAATTGAAATCGGTCGTGAAATAGTAACCTCAATACAGTAATTATACCCGCCATTTCGTTCTATTCGTCAAACAGATCCTTCGCGCATCCCCTTGACATTGAAAGTCAAACAAAGTTACTGGTATCATATAAAATTGCTGTAGCAAAATATCTGAGTGAGACGTGACTCTAATAAATAATATGAGCAAAAATTTCGTGATCATTGTTAGCTACTCAACAGTAGTCAACAGTAGCCAGTCAGCCGGCCTGTTCGGCAGCATTGCCTACTAACTGCGAGTCAGCCCAGTAAGTCTTATTTGAAAAATGCCCGCCACTGCCATCTGCCGCTCTGCTCGGGCCACTGTCCCGCCGTCTCTCTAGTCTAGGGATCGAAACAACAACTCACAAGAATCTGGGGACGAGTATTCCCTAGACAGTGAAGTAAGTACATACACAAACCCCCCACACATATTAATGCAGTGCTAGTGTGAATTGTCGTGATCCGAGTCGGCGGAGATCTGCCCCTCCGTTCTCGTCGTTCGCACGGCCGAATACGATGTGAAGACGGGCTCTAGCAAAATGCCAAGCTCAGCCCGTCGATCGCCTACCAAAGACCCTCCGTATCAATGCTACTACGGCAATCGTAGTGTTTGTGCCTCCTGCCGTAAGCACCACTGTGTGGATGCTAGAGCGCTCCTGGTCCTGCTGCAAGTGAAATGACTGCGAATCCCGTCTTGTGTTGTGATATTGCTTACCGTTCAGCTCTCGGATGTTGTTGCTAGAACGGATGCTGCTATTCGTTTGTGATGTTGTTGTTACGACCGCAGTGGCTACCGCATATGTCGTCGAAGTGACCGCTCCCGAATCTTGTCGTCGTCGTCGCCGCCGCCGTTCCGTGTGAGTGTGTGTCTCCGGGATCGGACTCGAGAAGGATAGGAGACCGTGTTTCGGCTCAGTCCCCCTTCCCCGGCTCCGCGGCCGAGCTCCTTCGGCCGACGCTAGTCTCGCAGGCCCTGCTGCTGATACTGCTGATACCTGCCTGTCGCTGCAGCTCCGTCAGTGGGCAGACTCGAAACGGGTCGAGTACTCCTCGACCGTTCCGTCATCCATTCCACCCAGTCTCCTCAGTCCCCCATTAACCGTAGTCTGTAGTATCTGTTGTAGCTAGTGGCACACAGTGTTCATTTACCCGTTTTTACCCGCGGATTATCACGGTTATCGTACGGTTACGGCTTGTCGTGCCGTTTTATGAGCCTACTGGTGCCGCCACCCGAGTCGTATCCGCATCTGAGCATAGCGCATCTCGTCGTCGCTGTCGCCGTCGCCTTCGCTGTCTTCTCATTTACCACCTTGAACAACGGCTGTTCACCACCCCCTCCCCTTTCTTTGATCGTTCGTAGGCTGTTCTGTACGTTTGAGTGTCTCTCTCACTATGAAAAAGGGGTAGGGGTATTTATACTGTCTTATTTACTAGCTCGTCGTTGGATAAATCAGTAATTGATTCTGATCCAGTCGAAGGAACAACGGCGCTAGCCCCAGCAGTCACGAGAGAACACGCAGTTGTCGTAACGTGTTGTTATCGTAGTTGTCGAGAAGCAACCTCCCCAACCATTAGTGACGCGAGAGAAAGCAAACTAGAGGAAGATAAGGGTTGGGGGGTAGAATAATTGTGTGCTCTTTCTACCGTCCTGTCCATCACCTCTTCTTTGATGTGTACCTCCTCCTGTTACCACTACATCAATAGAAACAGTATTAACAGGCGCAGAAGCAGAAGCTGCAGTCACAGCGGTGGTTAATCATCGACCGGTCGTAATAATCATTATCACCTTTGTATTAACCGCTTGCGGTAACCATATCGTAGTCGGACTTGGTACGTGTACCAATTGCAGTAGGAGAGATACTGGGGATAGAGTAGCTGATAGTGGTGCTATAGTAGTCGTTGTAGTAGCAATAGCTGTCCAGTCCAGCGCAGTGTAGTGTGCATAGGGTGTATACGGACCTCGATCGTGTGGGTTGTGGTATTTCTGTTGCTGCTTCTGCTTTTCTAGTGCTTTGTTTTGTCGTTGGGGTGAGTGTGTGTGGAGTACCGAAGGCGCGAGGCGTCCCAATGTTGTGGCTAGGCGGGCGGCCGCGAGATGACCCATGTGTTCGGCTGGGCGTGGGACGGCGCGCATTGGATCGCCTGGCATAGTTCGTTCTCACTACAGCAGCGACCGCTGCACGATTGCGTACTTCAATTCCACGTGGTGCGCGCTCGTCTCGAGATTAGTCAGCTGCGCCAGAGCGTACAGCTGCTCGGCGGACAGGTGGCCTCCGACGCGGCGCCTCTCGGTGACCGCGTCACGCACGTTGTCACTGACAAGGATCCAACGCGCGAAGAGCTTAACGGTCCCCAGACCCCTCCGCTATCGCGCGGACAGCTGTTACTCAACAAATCAGCTAGTCGTCAAGGCTCAAAGACAGCAGCTAGCGCCCACAGCCACATACTCGAACGCGCCAAGGAGCTCCGTGTCAAGCTTTGGAACGTGAGTCTGTTTGTGCGCTGGGTCGAGTATCAGCTCAGTGGTCTCAGTTCGGGTTTGACTGCATTTGCCGCCGTTGCCGGACTCCAGCAGCAGGTGCAGCAGCTGCAACAACACCAGCATCAACAGCAAACTCACAGCAATCACATAAGCCACAGTCATCAGCTAACGAACGGTTTCAATAGCGCTAGCCTAAGTAGCAGCGCGAGTAATAAGGCTAAGACCGTCGCTCAGCCGAATATCAAAGTCGAAGACCATCGACAAAGATACAAGCCCCAACAGAAAACCCTCAAAGAACCATACCTACACCTTGATCCAGAGTATCCGGCAAGTCCATTTGACGACCCAGGTCACCAACAGAAATTTGTCAAGCGCGAGCGTGCACGAAGATTCGAAGAAATCAACAACAATCTCGTCGACAAGGTACAAGGAAAAGAAGTATCGAAGCGCAAGGACGACACCGGTGGTGGTGGTGGCGGGGGTACCGGAGCGGTAAAAAAATCCATAAATCCTCCCAAACAGCAGTACTGTGAGTGTTGCAACGCGTACTTCTATCACCTAGACGAACACCTGCAGTCTGAGCAGCACCGAAAATTCTTCGGTGCCTCCGACGAGCAGTTCCGCTGCGTGCGAGATCTCATCGATAAATTACAGCCCCAGTGGATGGGCAGTCTGCAGCCGTCGTTAACGCTACAGCAGCAGCAGCACCAAAATAGAGAAACTCTACAGTATCTACAAGTTGCCGAGCATCACCTTTCAGCTAGCCTCGTACATAGTTTGGGCCAACTTGAACAGCAGCTAGCTATCGCTTCTCAAGGTCAGTTGATTATTCTAAAGTATACTTAAATACTTGTAAAAGGTTTTGAACCATTAAGAAAAATGTACACATACTCTGAGGTTCCCATTGTTCTATATACTCCAGACCCCGTTTAAAACATTTCAACCTATTCCCATGTTTAAGATATATAATTATACAAAGTAATCAATTAAAAGTGTATCTATAAGTACGGAAAAAGTTTATATATATATTATGGAAAGCAAATGAAGGTTCGCGAAAACCTGTATAGCTAGACATGAAAGCAATTTTTGGATTCATGTTTTTTTTGCAGAAATCTATTTTTTGCCTGTATTTTCTTTCTGTCTGGTCACCTTTTGTATTATTTTCACTGGCTGTTTCTCGAAACAGATTGCTGGAGGCATCAAAAGGCTTTGAAGAACGTATTTATCACGAAATCGACAGAAATGAGATTAGACTCGTTTTTTTTTCTTACAGAACCAGTTTTATACATCGGTAACCAGACTACCTGATATTCTTATATCTACTTATGGGAACTACAGATAGTTAACTTAATTTTTCGTATGCAATTTACTATGAGACTTTATTTGTTACGTCAGTTAGAATTCTATAGGACAGACGGTATACCCCAGCTTATTTACTTGACTAACTTTTCGTTGACAAGCGGTCGTCTAGACTTAATAGCGCCGATGTACACGTGGTGTATGCGCCCGTATTTTTGTGTTTTGCTCCTACTCTGTTGTTCAATTGGTTTGTTTAATGTACTTTTTTTTTTCTACGCTGGATAACAATGTCATGTCCACTGATGCGTGTCAAAGACGAAGACCTACGACTTCTTGCTTCGTTACCGCAGAAAGACGCCGGAGTCCCAGCAACGGCTTTTTTGTATTTAGGCTCATTGTTGATCAGCAACTTAGTCTTCTCCCCGAGACGGTCTTATCGTATCGAGTTGGTTCGTTGCGACCATCGCGTAATCGGTGGTCTCCTACATATATATATATATATATAATGTACTTTGCAGCTTTTACTGGCGATAAAAGCTCGTAAAGGCTGAATGGTCTTCAGCCTTCTCGCAGCTGTTGCTGGTCTCCTATGTTTCCTCATGCTCATTCAATGACCTCTCAGCTTCCTTCTGTACAAATGTGAAAGAATAACAACTTTTGGCGGTGGCCTAAGGTCGCGGTGTCCCTACCTTTTGTCCCGTGCAATCTTCTCATTACCGTCATACGATGCTCGAAGTATACTGTTCGTTGAGACTTTCGGTAAATGTTTGTGGCTTTAGGAACCAGCGACCACCTGTACCGATCACTTCAAGGCTATGAAGTAGCCCAGCAGTCTCCACTAATGTACACAAGCGCGTTTGGGGACCGCATACATTGGATAGCGAGCGAAAAACATATCTAAGCTGTTTAATTCTACAAGAAGCTACTGGAAACAGTGTCTGAAGTAGGTTTGCAGATTTTTTTCAGTAATAAAAAAAAATATGCAACCGCTAATTCGTGTAGCAACGTCGTCCTGTATAATTTAGGCTTGGGGAACTGTCCGACTGGCTCTAGACTGTTCTATTGAGGCGCTAGATCTGGAAGGCCCTTCAATGCAGTACTTATAAAGATACAATTGGGCTGATGTCAAAAAACATATCTGGTGAAAGTAAAGTCGTGGCAGGTTTCATTACGGTCGATCTTCTTGTAAAAGGACATACAGGTTCAGTTTTGCATTACAGTATTCTCACCATTTAAATTACATTTCTGTTTTTAATAACGAACTTAATATGTATTGGAGTTTATCTAACTAAAATCCAATTCAATGCTGCAGTTTTGGAGAGCCATTTGGAAAACAGCTAGAACTTGTTAACTAATATTGATGAGTAAACGGAAACGAGTCATATGGCAGTGGAAAACTAAATAATACTGTTTACGAAGAATCTATGGCTTACATAGATAGCTCAATGCCGTTATATGTAAAAGAAAATATTCATCGTGCACTAATCGCCTTTCTGTAACCGTTTGCTAATGAATTCGAGTTTATGAAATTGTCGTCTGTGCTGTAAATGAATGACAAATTATTAAAGGAAATTTCATTCTTCGGACCTTATCAAAATATTTTCTGAAATATCAAATATTATTGGAGGTCTTACCACCTGTATGCGTGAATTAAATGAGTTCCTCCTTTAAAGCATGACCGTGGCAAGTCTAATACTTCCCATTTAGATTGGACCAAAAAGAGGAATAAGAGAAACCTTTCATCTGGTATACAATGATGCTTTTCTTTGATAAAAAGCCATGATAGAGCAGAATACTAGTGTTTCTTTTTAGATAAACTTGCCTGTTTCTTCGAGTGATCTTGTTGAAATTTTACCAGTAATGATCAGCATTCCAGAATAGAAAAGTGATAATTTCCATTGTAACCAGCCACCATGCCTTTTAGAGAAGTTCATGCACTTGCATGACAAATATGTTTTATCAAATTCGTTTCTCTCACTCATTCTTTCTTATTAGGTTAAATATTGGTAACATTTCCAGTGGCCTTAGCTAACCTCTGCGATTCGTACTATTTCCTTGCTATAAATTGGTGGTTCTATGTTTAAAGTGAACACGCTCAGTCTTTGGGTGTGGTGTGCGTTAATTTACAGTAACAACCTGGCCGGCCGTAGCAGCACAAATCACACTCGGACACACTCGGATTACGGCAGAATAGCTTTCTTGTGTTGGCTGCGGCTACATGTTGATGTCGTAGCATTCACATGGTCTTGATTACCACTGACCAGGCAATGATTAGTCTGTGAGCCAAACGAACTCTATTTTGCAGAATCAAACACGCGAACAAGTGTGGGCTTGACACCCATCGAAAGAAAGAGAGACAGATGGCAAAGCTACTGGCTATACTGGATCTCGGTAGCCGCAAATGCAACTATAAACATATAAATGCGCTGATCCGCTGTATCCGGCTACGGGATATCAGAACTGAATAACATGGGCGGGCTGACGAGCCGTGATATCGGTCAGGCTGAAACCGACACAGGACTTTAGGCGCATGCTTCTGCTGTTATGGTATCATCGTTCCCAGTTAGTCGCGTAGCGTCCCTCCCAAGTTGTAATAATAGTGCGGAAGTCTAAGGACTTTCCTGCCATGTCCATATTTTGCAGCAACTGACATTATAAAGAGAGGTAGACAACAATGCAGCCAATGCTTGTACGGTATACCTACATTGATATACCTACCAGTACGTTTATTTATTCGCTGTTCTTTTCGTAGACGCTAATTAGCGAATAGTAGCCTTAGTCTATATACTCCACTTATAACTTTTGGGCCAACATATACAAAGCCATACTAAACATGATGACGTACTCACTCGAGTGTACGCTTAGCCTACAAACCTTCCAAATGTTAAAAGGAAACGTTATTAAATCGTTTTTCACAAGGCTAGATATAATAGCCGATGACAGTTCAAACAGGCAATCCCAAAGCAGCGATGGTCGCGGATAGATTATTAACTCTATAACTGACGGCACATTTTTTCGGAGTGAAATTATTGACAAGCTAATTTTTGAGCACAATCGACTTTATTCGTAAGTCGAAGATTCGTAAGTCAACAACACCGATTCTCTATATATGACTCTCTCCTACGGCCAACCTCTGCTTGAAATAGACCAGAGGCCATTGTGTGAAGATCTAGTAGCGACACGGACTACACAATCTGCGTAAATAAGGAAAGTTATACCATAGTCTTCTCTAACACCCGCATAAGCCATCGTCGTCGGACAAGTTTTCGTTGACCTTGAATGAGTGACATTTCTATTGTGAATTTGTTGCACTTACGTCGCTCGTTCCCTGTTGATTTTCTATGGTTGTCCCGCTTCTTCTACTTGAGCGTACTGGAATGGACCGAAATGCGTATTTATCTAATGTACTTCTCCTAAGTACACTACACCGTTCTGTGAGTGAGCCTAATTACGGCATCTAATTCATTTATAAATGTACTGAGCCATAATTTAACACACGGAAACAATATGTTTGCAATGTTATAACATTAATATATATTAATGTATATATATATATATATATATATATATATATATATATATGATTAGGGGAAGTATTAGATAATAAACTAATTAGAACCTGATTATTTTTTTTACGCAACCGTACCTTGTGCATCGAACATTTGCGTTCATTGTTGATCGTATCTATGAAATAAAATTATTACTTTAGAACGGAGCTTTTTAGGTTTTCTTTGTGAGATAGTCCCTTTAACAGCAACTAGATGTATGCAGAGTAATAGGCAATCCATTACGCATTTAGCTTATGAGTGAAAATATTGAATTAATTTTATTAAACATAGCAATAATGAGCAACACCAACCTCTTTCTGTATGTTTGGACTGTCAATGCCATTTTTAAAATGGGCTTGAGCGGTTGTCAGGGGAGTGCGTAGTGTGTGCTACGTGTCCTCTAAAGTGTCAACCAGTTGTGCACGTGATCATTATGCTACATTTTTTCACCCACACAATATAACGAACAGATCTAAATCAAAACAATTATATATTGGACCCTCGATCTTGAACTTGAAACACTTAAAAAAAGGAGTACACCTAGAGCGTTGTACGTTTTTTGACGAGCTATTGTTTTAGACAAAGTTTTTTTTAATAAACGGTATTTTTGATTGAAAGTAAAATATGAATTGAATCGTTTTCATTTCATCAGGTATTTCGATTTCTATGCGCAAACTACGGCGTACGTTTTCACATCAAAACTGCCAAACAGAATTTCCCGATATTACACAGATTCGTATTTAATACTGGATTAGGTGGAATATGACTCCTTATATATGTACACATGTAAAATTTTTTTGGGCAGCACCGTGTAAGGTGTAAACGATGAGGTACAACAGTTGTCGCATCCTCTATGAACTTCAGTGTAACATTGCTTCGTCTGCCCACAGTTGGTGCATAAAATAGGACATAATTTATGCAATTTTTTTCAGTTCTTTTTTTATCCATTTATACCATTCGAAACTGTCTTTTCTTCATGAATCCATTGTAAGTATGTTGGAGGTTGATGAAACCTAAAAAAAAAAGGAATGCAGTCCATAAACAACTAGAATTGGAGGAGAATGAACTGCGAACAGTCGATCATCGTCGGGCATCATGAAGCTACCAGATTTAGTCAAACATAACGAGCCCATAAACAAAGTGAAGAGCACATTTAAATATTTCTTCTCATTAACTCTCTACATCTCGCCTAGCTATACGTAGCCCATAATTAGTTTTTTTTTTCATATTTTCATTCGAAAAAATCATGGTTTTCGTTTGGTGAGACCGAAACTATCTTAGACACTCAACAAAATAACACAGTAAACAAGGATCTGTGTCTAACCTTACTGTGTAAAGCAATATGAAGCCATGCACCTGCGAAGACAGATTTGTATTCTTCTCCGTAGAATAACTCAAATTCGTTGGAACCATAAATGGAAAAGGTCTCAAAAGGTCGCTGATAACGGCAACTGAAAACCGACACCAAGCCTGAAAATTTGTCGTAGCACAAAACAATTTATAGTGGAAAAAAATTGTAAAAAACGATAACGAATAAATATTAACTGAAATTTTTATTACAATTTGTACAAAATGGTGTTTTTTTTATTAGTTAGGAAATGAACCTTATGCACCAACCTCATTATATGGCGACCTATTATTAGTAAGCCCACAAATGTTCATAACCTAGCCTTAGTTGTGTTATACACTGCGTACTGACGTTTGACCGCCGCAGTGGACGACAATCAAACGAAAATGTTTTAAAAAAAACAAACCACCGAAGTTATTTTCCGAGTTCTCGATTTCTGACCGTTTCTGATGCTTCTTCTCCATAGGAGCAGATCATTGTTATGAAATGTAACAATTCGAGAAGGTACGACGATGAAACTATATATTTCGTCGTGCCTGCACACCATTAAATGCAAATCAGAGTCCCAAGGTACGACTGCTCAGTCTCCGCAGCAGCAGTACGTCAGCCATCGCAGTTACTCTAGCGCCAATAACTAACTACCGGTAATTAGACTTAAAATGCTGACAATCACTGAGCCGAGTAAAGCTAGGTGAATGGGTCAACGGATGAATGGAAAGCGTCCGATTTTTCCGTCAGAATCTGTGCACATCTTTCTAAATGCTAGATAAAGAAGTTTGTATAACAGAGAATCATCGGTCTGAAGGCAAACTTACGTACTTAAGGTTTTTTATATGTACACTCCAGGTCGTAGCTCACTGTTCTTATAGTACCCATTGTCCGCACTACTACAACAACTGTTGTATGGGCTCTACCGCTGGAAGGAACTGTTCACCGAAAGGACGAGACTGTATTTGAAATATCATGAATATGAGCTGGGAGGGGATGCACGGGTGCAACAATGTTGTAGTACTTCTAGTAGCGGTACCCCTGGCTAGCTGTGGGGCATCTACAGAGGCCCTACAGATCCAGGTGGGGCAATTGGACGCCAAAAATTTGCAGTTCATTCGCTCAGCGCAGTTGTGTTCGATACCCGCCAATACTTTGTTTCTATCTTGTTTCTAGTAGCGAGGTACTGCTAGGGCGGTCATCGTACTGCTAATAAGGAATTTCAATAACGGTACTACTCGCGATTCTGGCTTGCGGAGTGTCAAAATGAGCCTGGATAATCGTGCCTGCTTGACTGCCTATGAGAATGGAACAGAGAGGTCTGTGGAAGGAGAAGTCACTATGGTGGTGGTAAAATGGAACAATTAAGGAAGAGTTGTGAGACTCCCAAGTGCATTATGCTATAGGTTTGCGTGTGTGCTTCTGTACAATGTACAAGTGGTGCCTGCTCTGCCAGCGGAAGAGGCCAGGGCACAGACAGTCGCTTAGTGCCGAGCTGTCTCAGCCGATTTGCTGACACATAAGCCGGCGACAGTAGCAGTAACAGCAGTGGTATAAGCTACGGTAATAGGTCCCTGTGATGACAGTGTGCAGCATGTTTGCCTGCTAAACTAGGTCTAGGTTCGAATCCGGGCATAGACATACTTCGTTTCGTGCTCGAGCCAGCCGTCTAATGCAACGCCTAACAGCGGTACCAGACGTAAAACTCGAAATATTTCTTATTGGCTGCGATGGTGGATGCAGGCGAGTGCCAAAAAGCAAAAGGCGCAGCATGCTCAAGCTGGAATTTTTTGCTACAGCCATAGCCTCAGTCCAGCAACATGGAATGGCGGCATATTGCACGTTTCTATCCGCACGCTTACCCGCCCGTTTTTTCAGTTTCGTGTCCATTGCCAGACGATGAACTGCGCAAGAAGCAAAATAGCGGCGAAGAACCTAGTGTTATAGAAAATGAGCCGACTATTGTGGGTGCTACCCAGATGGTGTCAGTTCTGCTGGCACGGTCCAGCATATGACTACTGTTATGAATTTCAATTGACGCGGCTGTTACACGTTACTATTACCATTTCTGATGGTCCTGCTGCTGTTCCTGTTGTACTTGCGGCTGAGACGGCGGCAGCACCGTTCATGGTGGTGGGCGGTTGGCCTTGCTAACTAATGAGACTCCGATGGTCCTTGGTTCAGCCCAGCTTCGTCTGCTGAATCGTTTGCTTTTGGTCCCATCACCACCCCCGCTAGTAACAGCAACAATAGCGTGTCTGCTGCTTTCTCCGCTGTTGACGATGCTTGCACTCGCTAAATAATTCCGGCTACGCGGCGATCAAGAAGGCACAACATGGCAGGACGCCGCCCCTGCTGCAAAGCTGTATCAGCCTTTACAACATCCAGGTAGCCAAAAAAACTCGCAGTCCTGCTGGGGCCTTGTTCGGCGAGAAAACGACGACTTGCCGCTGCTACTGCTGGTGCTGCTGTATGTATCAATATGTGTACACGCTAGCAGCAGGCCGACACATGGGGATCGCCAAGACGTTAAGCAGCACTGACAATGCGATCTGAATAGCAGAACCAGGAACCGCAGTGGTAAGAAATAGGCGGCTACAAAAGCTGCAAGTTGTTACTTCGATCTACCTAACAACAACAAGGGATTGCTGTTTACCATAGGCATCGACTGCGTGGACCTTGTGTTCATCATAATAAAACTGATGATACCACTATCGTAAAGCAAGGCCACGTACTTCAAACGTCTATAACCTCTAGGTGAAGGAGATGGCCGGCATGCTCGTGTTATCCATGTTTGTTTAGCCTCTTCCCAATACCTATGTGTCTATCAATGTGTATCTTTTACGTGCGTAATCTTTGCTTACCGTAATAGAACATCATTGGTATGACGGGATCCGCGGGAGCGAAATGACCTTCAGGTGAACACATAGAATAAAAAGGATTTGGTCGGACTCCGATTCCACGTTACCAAATTGAGTCAGGCCCAATGTGAGAGATGACACTTTTCTGCCAATATAGATCTGGTTATGTATGCTGTATCGATCAATGGGGCCGTGGCATTGCATGTACTTTTTTATTTCGTTGACCAGGACTAGAACATTTTTGACAAGTATATGCATTCACCGAGACTAGAAGTATACGCCGTAATTTGCGCATATGTCACTTTTGCTTATTAATCAAAAATGTCAAAGGTATTAGCTATATAGACAAATGTTCGCCCTTTCGAGCCTTTTCTAATGCATTATACTTTTGAAAACTATAAAAGCCCTTGAAAGTATACAGTTGGATATATGCGCGGAACGTTATTTGCACCAACATCCACATATAAGTTGTATGTAAAATAAATCCAAGAACGCGAGAAAAACTACCCCTGTACATATACTGATGGATCATAGCAACATGTAAGGTTATACTCGCTCGACATACGGCAATGGTTTTACAGATGCGTATGATATAAGATTTCTATAGGTACTGCTTTGCTTGATCTTAAACAGATTCTTTCTGTCTGGAAAAGATTTTATAAAAGGTATATAGTATGTGATAATTGACGATCGTACGTGTTTTTGCGTTGCTTACTTGTTCTTTTTGTTTTCGTTAAAGGCAAAAGCACTGAAGCATTACTTCCTTTGGTGGGGCTAGAGTCGTCTCTTGCCCTGCCAGCTCTCCCTGAAGCTCGACAACAGCAACGTCATCAGCAGCCCTCGCAAAAGCCCTCAACGACACCATTAGGTGGGCGAAACAGTAACAATTACAGTGTTGTTGGCAGTACGTCCGCTGCGGTTTCAAACAACAACAACAGCCGCTCTGCTGCCGCAGGCTCGGGAACAAACGGACTTACTTCGTTATCGGCAGTAAACAGCAGCGTCGTGGGCAGTGGCAACGGCGACATGCACCCAGCGAGCGCTTACGCGCTCAACATGCGCCAGCATATGCTCAACCAGGCGTACCGGAACGCTGCAAGTTCTGGTCAGCCGGCAGGGGGTGCTGTCGGTGGCGTTGGGGCACATGCGGCGCTCCTTGGCCGTCAGGCACCTGCATCCGCGGGACACTTCGATTCCGGCCATGGAGGTCACCATGTTTCAAATTCAGGTTGGTTGTTCATCTTGATTTAACGTCTAAACTCATTTTCCTGTTCGACTTCGTTAATTTATTTCTTCGCTGTTGATAGAGATGATGATCAAACACCGCTATCGTCATTTCGTGCTTCGACACGCGCTAGCTTGTATTTCGCTTCCCTCTAGAATATATGTCTAACCTTTTAACTACTAAGTAATTAAGAATCGGCATGTAAAATTGTAGATGTGAAAATAAAAGATGTGCGTTGCGACTAATCACTTAGACATGGCACATAATATTTGCAATAGTGCGATCCGCAGATGTCAAAACAAATAAAAACGGAAAAATCTAAATTTATTGCGCAAAGACATATTATTCTATTCATGTTGGGGGGGGGGGGGTAAATATAGGTAAGTGTGGTAAAAGCACTTTTAAAATGATAATTGCAAGACTAACGAACTTGGTTGGTTATTCACACTAACACAGATAACTCTATACAGCATTAGACATTTGAACGAGATTTACCATTTGAAGCATCTTGTCATTTGATTTATACGATGAGTAGTTCATGAACGTTGAGAACATCTTTGGTGTTATCAGTATAGTGGAAAACAATGTTATCATTATTTAGTAGCTCCAAGGTATCCACACGTAATAAGGAGATAATTGTATAAGATTGTGCCCGTATCTTCTTTAGTGTGAGCTAGTTAACGTCTAGCCGTACTAGGTGTATCGGAAACTTCAGATGATTACTATAGCTGTTTTGCTTCTATATTTCTTTTGAGGTGCTATTGTGAGAGCAAAAAAATAGCTTGCGGACGCATTCGATCTTACGATAATTTACGACCTTTATACTAACTATATAAGCAAAATACCATTCACCACAAGATGTTTAGCGATTGTGGTTATATAAAAAATTTATTATTGCAGTGGGAATTACCATCATCATCACATTCATTTGATTCAGTAAATCCTGCGGATCGGTCAGGTCCTCTGCAGAGGAAGATTGGCATCGAAAACTTGCACGGACAAGACCCCTTCGTATCCTTCTGATGCCTCGACGTTAAAATACGGTTTTTACATATTCTCTCCATGATACTGCAAATGTAATTTTGCAGTGTCATGGAAATTGCAGAATTTGCCTCGCAATACTACTCGATAGTGCTATCTACACAACACTGCTGAATACACATTTTTTGAATCAAGCACTTTCTGAGTGTACAGTGTGGATAGCGATTAGTCAGCTTCATTAAGGTCCGCTCTTACAGGAGAATTGAACTCGTAAAACACTATACGCATACTGAAAGATCTGATCTCTCCAAGCCGGAGAAGGCGCTTCGGTGCGCTTTACTTTACCTTCACCTTATTCGTCCGAATACCACGTTTTGCGGAACTTTCCTCCGAAGTGCCCACAACTGCACACAGCCAAAATATACCCTCGTTCAGCGTAAATCTCAACCATAGATACGCACACCTATGGGATATGAGTAATTAATTGAATTTGCATTCTAATATATTTTAGTAAATAAAATGGTTGTCTGGCAGCCACACGCACGTAAATTCAGAGTTGGACAGCGAGCTTCAAGTGACGGACATGAATGAAGCGAAACTTTATGGCTCTTATAGAAGGGTTCACTTGTTCGGTTTACGGACGTTAGTGATTAGGTAGTTTTGCAAAGGCAAACAATAGTTGGCCGGTCTTGTGCAGGTCAAATAAAAAATAGAAAACTACTGTGATATAGTGTGTTAACTATATATGTATGTGCTGTGTCCTTTTCTTCATTCAATCATCAGCTACATGTCAAGACTAACGTAGGCGAAACTAACATACATGGTCAAATGTGGACTTCTCTTTGTAGGCGTTGCCCTAAAGGGAGGTGTACCCGAAAGCATCGAAGGTTTAGAAGGGGGAGCCTCAGCTGGCGTCGGCCATCGGGGTGTTGGCGGCGCGGGACCTGGCGCTTCCCAATCTGCCAACCCGTTTCAAGGGTTAGATCTACTTAATAGTACTGAACAGCTGATTGCTGCAGCAACCGCTGCAACCTCAGGGGTGCCCTTAGATTTTTCACGCACGGCACCTCCACATCATAGTTTAGCGGCAGCTATGATGCGAGATTTGTCAGCTCATCTACCCACAACACCAATTTCACACCATGCCATGTTAGCTGCCCATCATCCGCATGCGGCTGCCTACAATTTATCGCAAGCCGCACAAGCGGCTCACAATGAGAAGATACTCGATGATTGGCTACCGAAATTACAAGACCAACTTGGTGTCGGCCATTCCGGTCATCACGGAGGTCATCATACCGCTACTGGGGGACAGGCGAGCAGCACGCAAGCACTTGATATGTGGAATGCTTTGGGACAGGACCAAAACACGGCTGCGCAACCCAATGTACTTGATTTGTTTGCGGCATTGGGCGGCACTGGCGATCAGGATTTTGCGCAGCTAAACTTGCAGAGCTTTCTGCAGGTAATGACGAACGTTGAGGAGGATCGAAAACGGGCGCAACAGATATACAATCAGGCGACCACTGCGCCAACGGGGGGTCATCATCATTCAACTGGAGCGCACTACCAGCAGCAACAACAACAACAAACGACACAAAAGAATAAAGAACGACATAGTCACAGTCAGCAAATCCACCATCAGGGCCAGGGCCAATTAAGCAACCAGGGTAACAATTCCGTGGCCCCGGCTCCATCAAGGTCCGAACTACCTGACCTCCCTGATCGCGTTGTGAATGCAGATCCGTCGCCCAAAGACAAAGACTACGACACGGCAGGGTCGCAAAGTGCCACTCCGAGCCCACAGGAAAGTCATCAACAAACTACGCCGCAGCAGCAACGGACGAATCGAGCCGCCTCTTCAGTACAGCCTCATCAAACGCAAGATTATGATAGTCCCTTACAAAAATCACAGTACAGTAGTCCAATGCCTAAAGATGAGCTACCTGAAGCGAACTTAGTATCCAAGAAGACCCCCGGACAAGATGACGCTAGCCAACATGATTCCAAAGGATTCTCGGATAAACAGCTTGAGATGATTAATCAGGGTTTATCCGAGTTGCACAAATTAATTGATCAACCCGGATCAGTCGATAATCTTTCTGCGGTTAGCACGGCGAATAACACACGAGTTGTAGACGCGTCACCACAAGGCCCACCCAGTAACAACCAACAGCAGCAAGCGCAAGACTTCCCGCAGACGTTTACTCCCGAGATCTCAGGTCCCCAACAGGCGCAGAATGCTTTTCCCGATGTGGTTTCGCCCTTCGATGGCCAACAGGGTGGGCAGTTGAGCCAGCAACAGCAGGGGCCAACGCAGCAGACTCACACACCTCAACAGGGCCATCATACACCTCAACAGGGCCATCATACACCTCAACAGGGCCATCATACACCTCAACAAGGACATCATACGCCTCAGCAACAAGGGCACCATACCCCTCAGCAGCAGGGACATCATACGCCTCAGCAGCAGGGACATCATACGCCTCAGCAGCAGGGACACCATACGCCTCAGCAGCAGGGACATCATACACCTCAACAAAGCCACACGCCTCAACAAGGCCACACCCCTCAGCAGCAGGGACATACGACCCCGTACTACGAAGGTGGACCCCGGTCCGTCCCGCCACCGGGTCAGATGCAAAATAACCCCCCGTCCGTACCAACGACTAACCCACCTTCGGTGCCAATGAGCGAGAACGGACTTACTCCTCAGCATACGCCCCAGCGGCACGGACCACTCACCCCGCAGCCAATGCTACATCAGCCACCTACCCCGCACACTCCACACACACCGATGACTCCCCACACACCGTTAACCCCACATAATAACAATAACCAAGGAGAGCACATGCAGAGCCCGGCGGGCCTGCATGGTCGGGCGCCGCAGCAGCAACAGCAGCCCAACGCAGCAGCAACCAGCTCAATGGGACAGATGCTGCAGCAGCAACAACCGGCCAATGTAGCCCCTATGGACCAGCAATCAGCGTCGCAGGGTCAACCCAACGCCATGGACAAGTACGACTTCCAGGACGACCCCCTGGCAGGCGCGCCTGTCGATTCGCAGATGGCGAGTCCTTGGCATCAACATCAGCAGCAGCAGCAAGTATTGCCTAGCCTGCAACACATGGCGGCAGACAAGGGCGACTGGCAGTCGACAGGCCTTCCCCAGTTTGAGGCCATCTCAAGCGACAACGCTAAGGATGGCCACGCTCAGGGGATGGTCATGACGGCCATGGACCAGGGCATGGGTCAGACAGGGCCGCATCAGCAGCAGCAGCAGATGGGGACTCACCACCACATGTCCGGCCATATGGCTAACGACAACGCAGCGCCTGTGCCAGCCCCGTACGAGAAGGAGCTTCCGTCCAAGTACCTCAAAGGCCGAGGTTACCAGGGTTATGGGCAACAGCAACAACAACAACACGGAATGTCCGGTGGCATGGGGATGGGTGGTGGTCTGATGAGCGGTGGTGGCCTGATGCCTGGTGGCGTTTTAAGTCAGGAATCAAACGACGTTCTCAGCTCGCAGGACTCGAATTCGCTCGCGTCCAGCAACGCTAACACGCCGCAACACTCCGGCGTACACGGCAACACAACAACTGGACAGCAGCAGACTTCAATAACGAGGTGTGTATGGGGGTTGATTAAATTTAATTATGTAATTCTAAAATCTTCTTTTCTCACTCACTTAGATTTTTTTAGATAGGAAGTTCCATAGAAAGCTTCAACGCGCATTTTCAATATAATAATCAAATAAGCCTATATACGTATGTTAAAAATACTTTCTTTGTCATGAATTTTCAAATGAAATTTCAGTTTCGGATACCATAATGAAACGAGTAAAGACTCAACGGACTTTGCGGCGCTCGACAAAAAGTCATACGTGCATGCAATTGCGCAGCACCACCAGCAGCAGCAGCATCATCATCAACAGCATCACCAACACCATCAACACCAACTGCAGCAACAGCAACAACAAGTGCAGCACCAACAGTCCGGAGACAGTGGATCCCACAATCGTTGGACGGCTCAGCGAAAAGCAAAACGCGGTCGGTATGGCGGTATCAAGCTGCAGTTTACCCCTGCAGGTAGAAACAAAACACAGGGGGCAGGTGGAGTAGGGCCGGCTGGTTACGGCAGTCAGCACGGAGGACATCACTCGATGTTCAGCCCCAGTCAAAATAACAGCCACGCAGCACGTGAGTAACAGGCACCGAAAGAAACATGAACTAGATACGTGCTTCTTCGATTGTATCATGCATATGTGCCGGAAGGTATCGTGAGTTGATTTTCTATAGCTAATCGGTCTATGATGTTGTACTTGTCGCGCGAAGACCTGTATAACCTAATTCTCAAAGTAAACCCATGGTTTTTAAAGTTACCCATCAAATGTGCCCCAAACAAGAATAAATTCTCTACTTTTCTGACTTGAATTCTACGAAAATATACGCTCGTATTTTGAAAATTTACTAAGTGTTGCGAGCCGCTTGATACAGATGGTACAACGTTTATAGTGTGCGAGAAGACACATATTTCTACTGCGTGTATGGTTCTTACTATGTCCTGGCACACGCATTTGTTGTTTCAATTACAGCGAAAGGTGATCCATATGACTGGAACGATGAGGACGAAGCTTCACTGACGCCAACTATCCGAAAAAGGAATTCACGCAATTCCCACGCTTCGTCGGCTCCACTTTCTTTCTCACAGTTCACCCAACAGCAACAGCAACCACAACAACCCGCCCACCCCTTTCATTACCAACAATTCCACGAACAGCAGCAGCATGCTGCGACAAGTAGCTATCAGCAGCCGTCGTACGGTCATAATCAACAGCACGGCTACCAACAGCAACATTATCAACAAGGAACTGGAGGAGGTTCGGGAGGAGGAGGAGTAGGATACCAAGAGCAACAGCAGCAGCAGCAATCTTCGTATCATCACCAGCCACCGACTCAGCCACCGCAAAGTTCAAGCTCATCATCGGCAGCGGGAGGATCGGCCTCACAGGTATCTGGTTCGAACTCCACTGACCCTCATGACGAATGGAAAATGAAGATGGTCTCCGAAACCAAAATCGTGCTTAAGAAGTTCAGTTTATCGTCGGGGGGCAAACCAATGTCATATAGTAAACACCCGCGAAAGCGGCATATATAAGCCTATATTATTCCGAGGGGGAGAAAATCAAATACATAATTACCTAGAGAGGAAAGTCGTCAAAAGGTGACTGGTTGAATACGTAACTAAGTTGAGACATTAGTTTTCTCTCCGCGTGTGTTTAATAATCAGTCATACAAAAAAGGGCGGGGAAGGAATAGAAGGAAGGAATAGTGGAAATTCGGACAATATTTACCGCCAACGTTGTGACGGGGCGAATAGGATCTGCTGCTACTGATTATTGTCACCCTGTGAAAGCAGTATGTGATGGCGATACGCGAAAAAATGATCATAATGAGACTAACTAGGAAATGGCATACGGTTGCGTTTCATGCGCGATTGTGACACATCTACTTGTGTGAGTTTTGAAAAGATAGGGGAGCACTATCCTATTCCTTCGATCGAGCCGAAGCCGTCGGATGAACGGAGAAAAAGAAAAAAACCCTCGAACTTTTGGTTAATTGTGGTAATAATGACGATACGGACACTCGTTAGCCCAGTGGTGTGCCCTAAAGGCTTCTAGCATGATAGCGTTGTTTACTATGGCCGACGGATGGTACGGCGATGTGATGATATTACAATACGTCGAGCCGAGAATGAAGGGCGTCGAACTTTGCGTAGTTCTAGCAGTTTTATTATGAGCATATTCAAATATAGTTAGCTAGCAAGTTAGATTTTAATTTAGCCACTAGGGTTAGCTACTGAACATTTAGTGCATAGGGATGTTTATTGTGTCGGGAACGGATTGCCTATTTCTCCGCTCTGGTCATCTCTGAAGAATCGATTGATCGGTTGCCTCGCTTTTTCTAGCAGTGTTTTACGATGCAACTGATTCCGCGGAACTGTTTCCGAGTATATACATACAGATACAATAGATACATCCATATAGCTAGGGAGTAAGAACAACTGGTGAAAAATTACAAGGCAGCCGATGAGGACAGTGTATATACGTAGCATCGTGGTAATGATAGTTATAATAGTGATGACAGTACAGTGTACAGTTCGAGTAACTCATGTGTATGCATCTGAACCCAGTTACCTCTATCGACGGATCGACCCGTAATGACTATGATCAAGTGTACAGGAAAGGCAAAGGCCAGTTCTTTATAAATACTAGAGAAGGAGATATTGGAGAAGGGAGAGAGGCCGTCTTGAGGGACAGACATTTTTTTCTTGTAAGGAGTTTTATGTAAGCGCACGTGTGTCTGTATATGTGTATTTGCGATTGGGTTTTCAAAGAGGATAATGAGAAACGATGTGCTGAATTACCGGCCGGCCATAAATCTCACCCGTTTAGACTTCAGTTTCACAAGTTGATATGTTTTGATGATCTCCTCGTCATCGATTAGGAGCGGGCAAAATGTAGAGAAACAAAAATGCAACAACGACGAGGGAATTAGATAAATGGTCAGGTGGCGGCGGGAGATTATTTCGAAGAACCTGTGCTCAAATCCTTCTTCCGTTTTCGAATAATAAGTCCTACTGGCAGCTTGGCCCTGTTAGTCAGGCCCTGCCGCCTAAGGGCCATTAAAGTTACGTTCCTTTTTTGTGTTTGATACAGATATGACACGAATTCAAGAAAAGTAAGAATTATAACAATAACATTATTAGTGCTATGATAATTACTGTAAGCCATGATATATGACAACAATATAGTAATTGTGAAAGTGACGGCAACTCTAACGAGGAGCTACGAAAACGAAATGGGAGCTATTTATTCTAAGACAAGTACATATATATATATATATATATATATATATATATATATATATATAAAGGAAGAGAGCGGGAAAGAGTGCGTATAGCGGTGTGACAAGCAATCAACCAAGATGGCTGGGTCTTGTAAAGAGTCGAAATAGAGCTCACTGTATTAGGCGAAAACAGGAGCAACTTGTATTCTATGTATACGACGATAATTAATAATTTAGCAGACATCTTATCGCATAGCGTGACGGAGCGATCTCCGTCTGAGTAGCAACACGTAGAAGAAATTTCAAGACGACTCACACAAATAAGGAACCAGAAATGCGAAGGTATGCAAAGCAACAGAACAATGAGTGAATATCATATGAGGGATAGGGAAGGCTCGAACGCTACAAACCAGAGAGCTAATCGTTCAATAAACGCGGCTAGATACTAGTGAAGTTTGCCCGATCTAAGCGGATGACAATTAGCTTAGCAGAGACAAGGATGATTTTCTTTTCTTTCAGTTCGGATTCATCGATAAATCAGTAACTGATGGTTAGATGAGGCAGCACTGCAACTGACAACAGAGGAATGACTCGCAAAATCTATAAATACGAACATCCGAATAAATGTAGTTCATAGGTAAATCAAAGTGCGTCATAGCGCTTATAGCAGTAGTGAGCTGGCGTTATTGTTGATACACAGAGCGACGCGCGTCGAATGGACTAAGATGCCGTTGACAATGTATATCACAGAACGTCAATCCATAAATATGTATTATATAATAGGATAACATCTACATAACTATATTAATGTGATGTGATGTAATGTGACGACATGTGGTGAGATGCCGGCGTCGAATTTACACACACAATAAATTCACACATAAACATAAAAACGAAACACCTTCTGGGGGCCAGATTAATATTGAATGATGTTAACTAGATACAGATACGAGCAAAACATGCAGAAATCATCATACGCCAGAGATAATGGGGACATTTTTATGGGTATGTGGTGTTTGGATAATTGATGTAATTAGTAATTAACTATTGGCCGGTACGGCGAACATTTTGACATACGCTTGAACCATTAAGGATTACAGTGGGTGCAGGAAGTACCAATTTAATTGTTTGATATCGCTTGCTTATGTTTTTGATCACGTATAGGCACCGTTTTAAGTTGTTTAACTATTTAAGATAATTACTAGTAGTAGCAGTAGTAGAATAAAATATTGAAATATTATGCCGATAATATTGTCTTAGTCTAAAGGTTACTGAAGTCAAATGGGAACAGCCGATGGAGTGACAATGAGCGTGGGAAGCTTGGTTGAAAGTAAGCGTGGTTATGGGCTACCCTTTTCACACACACAAATATATATATATATATATATATATATATATATATATATATATATATATATATATAGCTTTTTGCCAATGACATGCCAATTCTTGTGGACTATGCTGATCATATGGGTTAGATGCATCTAGACGACAAGGAAATGAAGCAACAAGCAGGGAGAACGCAGGAGGGAAATGATACGAAATACGTAGGGGAAAATCATAATCCGTTAGACTCGGAGAATGTCTTCCGGCCTTGTTCGAGCGTATTGTCTCTTTTTGAAGAAGTAACACACGAGTGAAAAGAATGATGATATCACGAATTAAGGAGGAGATCACCGTCATTACAGAATGCGTGTTCAGGCTGAGGTTAGATAGAATACAATACAATAATGATAAACGATGAAAAATAAGAGAAAAAGGGGGGCGATAAAAAGGGTAAAATGGGGTGGCATAAAACAAGAGACCGACCCACAACTACCATGCATACAATTGTACATATTCTTGATGTTCATATGTTTCCTCTTTATTTATGCATCGTATGTACTATACATGAGCAAGCAACTCAATGATCGCGATCGTATTATTATTATCATAGAGCGATGGAAGGCTATAAAAGCTGAATGGCAGGGGCACCCAACGATTAGGTCAATAATGATTCTAATAGTAATAAAACGATTGTAGCATGTATGAATTCAACAGTAAGGCACAGCGACGTGCCCAGTAAATACAGCGGATGTGCTAGAAAATGCGAACTGGCCGACGTGCAGATCAAGAATGAATGTGGTTAAAGGCAAAACTCTTTTTTGGGGCAAATTTGAAGTGCGGCCAGATACGGCAGTACCGGCGCTGAGGGAAGATGAGAAATGGGAGTATTGGAAACGTTTCGAATATGCCTTCATTGTCGAAAACTAAATGTAGTACTTTTAAATGAGTTATCTAAAGGTGGCAGTATGTCGCCTGACTTGCCTGAAGCATCACCGAAGTGTCTGAGATTTGACCAATTGTCAGGCTACTTTTTCTATCGTTGAATTTCACGCATCTCCTTTGATAAATAGTAGGCAGATGAGCTTACCTCTGCCGAAATATTTCTAATAACTAAATTCAAAGTGTTTTTTCTTCTTGTTTTTATTGATACTTCTAAAAATACTATGCCCGATATGTGCACCAAATGACAATTTAAGAACACAGCCTTTTAAGGCGCTTGACAAGTCTTAAAACCAGTGATGTCTTCAGACCTAATTACAAATCTTTATATTGTGACGTATTGATCTATTTAATCAAAGAAAAAACAATGCAAGCATCATTTAGCAAACAATGTCTTCGATTCCTTTTAAGGACAGAAAACCTAGCCCCACTTGCAAACGTCACGTCAGATTCCCATTTCTAGCCTTTTGGCCCCATACAGCTTTTGGCTGTCTCAGGTTGTCTAAGTCGGATGCCAGCATCAAGAGCCCTTCTGCCATGATGTCGACACTATTTTCTTTTTAGAGAATTAAATTACTATTGGATAAAAAAATGTTGCCTGCGAGCGTTTCGGTGTATATACAACATATTGAGTGTAAAAATGGCCAATAACATTATCTCTGTACATACGTGGTGCAATAAACCTTAATAAAAATGAAAAACTGAACATACCTTCCTGCTGCAACAGCATTCTGGAAATAAACAATAATAACAAATAAAAAATAAGAACGTTATTGCCGACATCTGTTGATGTTATTTTTCAGAATAGTAACTATTAAATAAACACTGAACATTTTTTTTAGCTGCTAATAAATAGTCCTCTGAACAGCACATGTTTCCATCTGGGTTGAACAAACAAGCAGTTGTTTCAGTAATGGAACTAGTTGATAAAAGAAACCCATAACGCTTTCTAAAAGCACAACAAGCCGTACAATTTGTTGTGCTTTTAGCACCAGTGGCTTTTATTGTAGGCGTAATGCATACATGCAGCAGAGGCTACTTTCGACAGTGCCCTAGCTTGACATATGCTTGAATGAATGTAAAAAACAATATTAGTTAGCAGAAACAAAAGATTAAAACGAACTTATTGAGTTTTTAATAGGTGGCCCCTTTTTCGGCATTTGAGCATTTTGGTCCATGGTGTCTAAGCTATAAGACCAGTTGTTTTATCTTTAAACATCATGTTTGAGAAATCAAGTTACTTCTACTTAGCGGTAACTTTGTTCCGCTTTGCTGCAACAAAGGAATTACTTTGCTATCGTTTTTCCTATAACCAACCTCTCCTAATTTCGAAATACTGATTTTCTCCACAAATATAATTTGTATAACTATTAGATAAAATATAGCACTGATTAGGTCACGTCACCGTTCTACCTTTCGTCACAGATAGGTAATATCGTTTGGTGCATAGCTACGCTTGTCCAAGTCGGTCTTTACAGTACGGCATATTTCTGCAGAAGTTGTGCTGTTTTTTTTAAAGAAAAGCTAACGTGCATGAATCTATAAGTTGACGATAATACAAGATGCGTGAAAACAAATCATTACATGCTGATTTTTATAGATAATTAAACTATTTTCCTTTTGATTGGTTAATATCTTACTCAACTTTACTTAGATTTACATAGAACCTTTCAATTAAGATTTTCTAACAAAGTACGCTTACTTCTGTTAGCTTTCGTGTTAAATATTTGGCTTATTATCCTTGTATAGGTAAAACATGGCGCGCACTTATTTTAAACCATGTATATATAGCTTTGTGATGTAATTCATACGGTTTTGCAGACCGATAAAAAGTACGAATAAATCGTTGGGAAATATATATAACTTTAACAAGTTGTTAAACATGCTCCGCAAAAGAAAGACTCCAGCGTTTAAGATATTCAAAATCATCGACCCATTTTTATAAACACATCATAGCCAAAACACATATTTTTTTGCATTTCTATGTTCGTTTTTCCTTTTGAGACCTTCCTCAACTGTCTTTCCGTAATTTATAATTATCCTCCAATTGCTGGCAAGGTAGCAGACAAAAATGCTCTAAAATATCTTCTGAAATACAATTTTTATTATGAATTCAATAGTCTCACCAGACTTGTCTAATGATGGCTGGATTTGCTAATATTAAAATAATGATCATATATCCATAACTAAACGTTTCGAACATGACCTAATTTTCCGAAAAGCATGTAACTCTTTTGTGTAAGAAGAGTTTCTTGTATGCGTGAAGTCGGAGACTTGAAACAATTGGCCGCCCAACAAAGAAGTCAATCCAAACCCAGTCCAAGTCTAGTTGGTCTACACAATGAACATTTTTATAGAAATTATGTGGAGTCTTTCAGCGATAATGTTATTTTCTTTTTTATATAAGACAACCCTTTGTATACTTCCTGGGATCTTTCATACTATCCGCTAAATTAAGTTAGAGGTGCATGAATGTCACTCAAATAGTTTCTTATTATGTTTTTGACCCTTTTAGGCATGATATGAACTGCGTACAACGGTTTGTTTCTAGACTGACACGCGAACCTCCATGCGTGCCTTTGTTTGTGTGTATGTTTTCAGATTGTCTCCTGTGTTCCTTCGAATAATATCGGTGATATTTTGAAACATGTGTGATTTTTTTTGTATTTTAGTAAGATAGCTTCACAATAATTTTTACAATTTTTTTTGCAATAAAAGTATAGAGACGAGTATAACTTTAAACTTCGCTTTATAATAAGAATCTTAATATTGATGGATTTCGAATTAAAGATCGGAAGCGTCATTCAACTCTATGGTGCTGTCGTAGAAATTGTATTGCTTGCAGTCCGAGACTACTTCGTTTGCATCTACTAATTTATGAACCTTGAATAATTTAAGTTTTATAATTTTGGCTCTAGCTTTACAAGTACGTTTTATGTTTTTTGACAGGGAGCACTTTCTTGGTAGACCTTTCATGTTTGTAGATGCGACTGGATCTTTTCTTTGTAAATTTTAGTTTTACGAAAAGGCATTTTTGGCATCGAATAGGAGATGTTCTACGGTAGCTTGCTCACTTTTAGCCGACTGTCACTTTTTCTTTTCCTATCTCTTTACTTTTCCGGGCTTTCAAGTAGGAATTGACATCTGTCGAGTAAGTTTCTCAAGTTACCACTGTGGCAAAGATGTCATCTCTACTGCGGTTCGGCCTGCATTTCAGTTTTTTTTTCTGCGAAGGCCCTTCCTTTGCAGACATATGGCCGATAAGCACATTCGACACTTACTAGGCCAAACGGCGCTTACCCCTACCAAATTACTCTTCGCTTGTACCATCGGTTCAAAGAGGGTTTGTCCCTTCCCGAGCTTTTGTGCTTGCCATCAGATCGAGAATAGCACAGCTTGCATGCCCGGTGGCTTATCCGTTTCATCCATCTGGTTTGCACACCAGTAGGTAGCCAGCAACTAGCAACGCAAGCACCAGTTGCTCATGTAGTGCTTTGTACGCGGCTTTGAAGCGAGAATTTAAAATAGGAAAGGGCCGCAAGTTGTCCTGGGAGAAGAGGAAGGCGGGGTGAGAGGACGGCGAGAGGGGGGCGCCAGCCTAGAGCAGAGCCATTGTACACATGAGACGGATACAGCAGTGGACAGCCTCCACGGTGAACAACAAGAACAGGATGGAAGTGCCGGAGCCGGGGGAGGGGGTCTAGTAGCGGTAGCAGTAGTTGTAGCAGTAGTAGAACTTGTCGGTTATGTTGGACGAAGGATGAGCCATAAGAGCCCGGGGAAAAGCGGTCGTCCGGGAGGGGTAAAAGAGAAGTAAGTAAAACTGCCTTTTCTCTTCACGCTTCTCACTCCATACCAACCCTTCCACGAATCACCCTCTCCCTCTATTTCTACGTGAAGCATATGCCCTTTCTCTTGACCACCAGGCCAGTGGCGGGCGCCGGAACGTTGGAGCTCGAGTTAAAAGCGAGTGGAGAGCGAGTACCACGGCGACTATTGCTGTTTTTACTCGCTAACTCGCATACAATAGAGCACAGGCGACACAATAAAAAAGAAGTTTACCCTAAACGGTTTCGAATAACCTTAAAAAAATATACCTTTGGAGTGGATCTACTGAAAATTATACACTCTCGATAGATGTGAGTAAAACGTAATTGGTGCATAACGAGCTGTTCAAACTACGAATTCCCACAAGTAGTAGAATAGGGAGTGCAAGCTGAAGGAGCTGGTATAAGTGATTGCTGTTGCTACAACTGCTAGAAGCCTTGCAGCGTTATTTACCTAGTGTTTATTTCGATCTGACAGGCGATATGACCTACCTATTATTCTAGCTGATCGTTTAGTGTTAGGTGCTGTTGTGCTAGTTGCTCCTGTTTCATTTGGTTAACGGAGAGGAGGAATTAAGGAATCAATCGCGAGGATATCGCGATACAACAAAGTCGACCTGAAAAGGATTTGCTGTGTTGTGCTTGCTATATTAGTTATTTGTGATCGTTAAAAATTACGTTCCGTCAAGCGAAAAATCGAGTTAAGTAGTAGATAGTGCGAAAAGTAGGAAAAATTTGCGCCAGTGTCAGAATCGACGCGCCACGTTACAGCTGCAGGCCGAAATAGACAACTAGCTACCGCAAGGTAATCCGAGGCAGTGGATTTTGCCACCTGAAAGGATTGGCATTTACTTGCCGCTGAGCGACTTGAATCTTGGCGCGCATCGATGCATCGGTGGACCGGCTCGGCTTGTCTTCAAGTCTTGAGCGCCATCTAGTGCTCTCTTCTACCTCCCAGTTTTCCCCACCTCAAGCCACAGTTAGCAGCACTCAAAGAGACTTGTAGTATCATAGTGCGTGCTGGTGTGTATATCGAGTGCGACTGAATGGGCCAAGTATAACTGCTGCGAAACTTCGTGAAGAAAAGAAAGTTCGTCCACTTGGCGGTGGTTAGTGGTGGCTTAGTTTAAGCTTCTTCACGGATAGAGTGTTAAGTGTGTGTAGTGCTAATTGTCGTGGTCGTGCAATTAAGTACAGTCAGTAGTTGTAGTTGTAGGCCAGTGAGTCGATAAGTGCCGAAGGACTACTCCGACATATACAAAGGAGCCTAGAACAAGGATTCCGGAGAAGCTAGAATCACTTCGTAGGAGGTAATACGCAATCATATTATACAGCATTGGTAACTAACTGAGTCACCTAGAATCGGCAGCAAGCAGACAAACTAGTCTAAAGACGTAGAAAAAAGATACACAAAAACGTGCTCCAGGCAGGCCAAAAGGGCTAGTAGTAACGTCCGGTTACAGCTGAGCGGCGACTAACATCCTCCAGTGGCTGCCGGGCACCTGTCAGAGTGAGAGCGCGCATCCATCTCAACCTGGAAAGAAGCAAGCTCCGTAAGAGCTAGTAATCGAGTACTCCGTTTCTACGCCGCGTTTTCCGCAAAAAGCTAGAAAAGTAGAAGCATTTCATCAGTTAGACGTTAGAATATACAATTCTGACAAGTAGGCAAGGTTGGAATAGGCAACACAATTGCACTGGTCCATCGGCGGTTTTAGGTGTAGAGGCTGCTAGCGCAGGTTGCTTAGTACGTCGAAAAGAAGCGATAGGACCGCCGCGAGGTTGTACTGCTGTGTGATGTGGTCCATTATATTTGTAGGTTAATCTGAATACGTAATGGCTAGCTGATATGAAGGAAATGTTCTGCTCTCCTTTCCGTATTTTGAATGGTAGAGTTTTTAGACGAGTAAAACTAGTAAAAGATTCTAAAATGGCAAGTTACTTTTCTC